CCCGCGCCGGTGACGCCCCTCAGCGCCGCTGTCGTCGTCGTCGTCGTCGTCGTCGTCGTCGTCGTTCGTCTTCGCTCGTCGCTCGTCGTCGCTCGTCGTCCGTCGTCGCTCGTCGTCGTCGTCGTCGTCGTCGTCGTCGTCGTCGTCGTCGTCGTCGTCGTCGTCGTCGTCGTCGTCGCTCGTCGTCGCATCGTCTTCCCCGCCACGGAGGGATCCAGGAGCGGGGCTTCCCACGCCCCTGCGCGCCCGGGGAGTGGGTCCAGCGCCTGCAGGGGTGTACCGCTCTCGAGCGAGCGTCCGAAGCCTGTGCTCGGGTGCCTGGCCGCCCTGACAGTGTGCCTCGGTATCGTTTGACTGGCCCCTATCCCGGGGGGTGGCTCCAGAGGCGTTCCCTCGTAATGCCTCCCATGGTGCATTGGATATTTCGAGAAACTCCACGCTTTCGCAATGGGGGCGGCAGGGGGGCGTACCACTATCCCCATCCCCATCCCCATCCAGACTCCCACCATCTCGGCACACCAGTTGGGGATGTACCCCTCGAAACCCGAAGGAAACGGCGGATACCCCCATCTAGAGGGGTAAATCGGCCAGTGGGGCCCGGGCCACCCAGGTGGGAATAGGGGTTGGTTAAACCATGCTCAGTGCCCTTGATTCTCCGTGTTGCCGTGCGCATGTATCGAAGACGCCTACGGCGAATCACCGCAGCCCCCTGCCTTTCAGGATACGCCTCTGTGGCGAAACGTTTGGGCAAAGTTTAGGCACGCCACTGAACCATGCGTTCCCCCAGCCGTTGCGAAAACCCTTCGGGGAATACGTGGGGGAGGGCAGAGGAGGATGAGGAGAGGGAGGGAAAAGGAGGAGGAGGAGGAAGAGGAGAAGGAGGAGGAGGAGGCCTGTTGGGAGCTGCTTGGGGCACTCTCGGGGACTCCTGTGAGCTTCCTGGGGGGCCTCTTGAAGGCATCTTGGAGGCCTCCTTGGGCCTCCTTGGGCCTCTTGGGGGCCCTTGGGGGCTTCTTGGGAGCCTCTTTGGCCGTCTGAGGGAGCTCCTGGCCCCCAAGACGCCGTCGAAAGGCGTCTTGAGGGTCTCTTGGGGCCCTCTTGGGGTGTTTCAGGGCCGTCTTGGAGGCCATCTTGGGCGTCTTGGAGGCCTCTTGGGCCGTCTTGGGGACCTCTTGGGGCCGTCTTGGGGGCCACCTTGGAGGCCTCTGGGGCCATCTTGGAAGCCTCTGGGGTGCTCTGGGGGCGATCTTGGGGAGCTCTTGGGCCGTCTCTGGCCGTCGTAAGACCGAAACGAAGCAAATGCCCAAATCCTTCCAAAGCCCAAGCAAAATTAATGATTTGGCCTCTTCAGGCTTCCATGGAGCCTCTTGGAGGCCTCTCTGGCCGTCTAGGAGGCCTCTTGGGCACCTCTTGGGACGTATGGGGCTGTCTTGGAGGCCATCTTGGACCATCTTTGGCGAACTTGGAGGCCATCTTGGCCGTCTTGGAGGCTATCTTGGGCCATCTTGGGGCCAATTGGAGATGGAGCAACTTTTGCAACCAGGTCTTCGGGGTGACCGGCGCGCTGTGCCGAAGTTCTAAAAGAACCACAAACCTCTCATAACATAACATCCAGCACGCTGGGCACCCCTGTGGCAAGCCAACGGGGCCTGGCGTGCTAGATCCTACGGCTTGGCTTTGGTTCTTTTCCAAAAGATCTCACCCTTGGGCTTCGGTCCATGCCGCTGGCCACCTGGACGGCAACCGACGTCTCCAAGACGGCCAAGACGGCCCCCAGTTTCGCCCAAGATGATCCAAGATGGACTGCAAGACAGCCCAAGAGGGTCCCAGATGCCTCCAAGTCCGCCCAAGAAGCCACCCGGACGGCCCAAGAGGCTCCAAGAGGCCCCTAAGAGGCCTCCAAGACGGCCAAGTGGCCTCCAAGAGGTCATCCAGGAAGGCTGGAAGAGGCCATGTGTGTTGAGACCACGTGAATGCTCTTCCAGCCTCGGCCTGTCGTGTCTAAACACAACACATTTCGAGCAGAGGCGCCTGCGGTCTGGCGTCCCCGCCTCTGCTGTAAATTCCGCCACCGTTGGTCTCAAGCTTCAGCGCGCCGAGGCCCCGCGGCACCTCGTGGTGGCGGGGCCCTGCGCTGCCTTGGCGGCGGCGGGGCCTGGCATGCGGTGGGAGCTGACGCGCGGGGCTGTGGCCGAGGCGGCGCGGGTGGCGTTCTCGGGTGCGCAGGCGTGCGCGCCCTGTCCCGATTGCCTCCCCGCTGCCTGCCTGGCCTGCCCGGGCTGCCCGCCGCCCCCGCCTTGCCCGGCGTGGGAGTGCGCCTCGGCTGGCCCGCCGTGGGCCGTGGCGGCGGCCGGGCCGTCGTCGGAGGGCGCCGCCTGGTCGCCCTGGCTGCTGGTGGCGCTGGCGGGCTTCCTAGCGGGCCGCTGGAGCGTGACGCCCGAGGCCACCCCGCGGGCGGCTGGTGATCGAGACTCCCGACGGCGACCGCTGCTTGGAGCGCAAGGCCGACTGGCGGTGGCACGTCGTCGCTGCTGAAGGGATGGCGGCCTGAGGGCTTCAGCGGCGACGTCGTGCGCTTCCACGCGGAGTTGGGCCGCGAGGCGCTGCGCCAGATGGTGCTGGAGGGCCGCGGCCTGGCCTGGGAGCGCCGTCGGCGCCGGCTGCCGAGGGATCTCGGCGCGCACCTGGGCGGGGAGCCGCGCTCGATGGTGGAGTGGCACGGCGACGAGTGCGGGCTGGACGCTGGCGTGCTGGAGGCGGCGAGGCGCAGGCTGCGTGGCAAGCGGCCGCTGGCCGCGGGTGCGCGGGCGCCCGAGGTGGCGCCGGCGACGAGGCGGCCACGCGCCCCGCCCTGAGCCCGGCCCGCTGGAGGATGCGGACACCGTGCTGCTGGTGGCTGAGCTGCATGCTGGCGGCGGCCTGGAGCTAGGCGACGGGGTCATTTTTGGGGGCGCCGACGTCGCTCAGGGGTCGAAGGTGATCGGTCGGCGGACGGACGGGCGCCCCGTGCTCTGCGAGCGAGTGGGGATCTCCGCCGTGGAGGAGTAGCGAGTCCAGGCGCTCGCGAACGCCAGACGCGTGGCTGCGCCGCTAGCGGCGCCCTTGGGACCGCCCCCTGGCGAGGACCGAGGCCTTGCCGACCTTCGCGTGGCCCTGCGAGAGGCGCCGCGCGGCGAGGTGGAGGGCGCCGCTACTGGCCCAGAGGATGTCAGGACGCTCGCCGTGGACTGGAATGAGCAGGGCGCCCGCGTCGAAAGTGGCGGCGCGCAGTCGGCGAGAGCAGCGATGGGGGCCCTAGGTGGCTGCGAGCTGCGCGGAGCTGGGACGGCTCTCCACTTGCGCCAGAGGTTCGCGCAGCACGGCGGCGACTCGAAGACGTTGATGTCCAACTTCTGCCAGGGGTGCAGCATCAGCCAGCGGGGCCGGACATATCACGAGCTGAATTGTCTGGTCGCTATCTTCTGGTTGGCTGGGACGTTCGATGCGGTGAACCTCGGCGGCTTGGCGTGCCTCGAGGTGGCGGCCAGCCATGTGGCGCAGATCACCGAGGCGAATCGGGTCTGCTCCCGGGCAGCCCGCGGCGTGGGAATTAGGGCGGTTCCTGACAATGGCCAGCGACCCCTTCGACGTGGTGTCGCCCGAGCACCGTTCCTTCGCGAAGCGCGTTGCCCGCGACGAGGCCGATCGTCTGGCCGTGCTGGGCCAAGGGCGGCCGCCGGCTGCGGCCGCCGCGGAGCTGGCGGCATCGAGGATGCGGCGGCGCATTGGGGGCGGGGTCCTCTCCCGAGCTTGAGCTGACGACGGCGGTGGCAAGGGCGGCGGTGGCGCCCGAGGTCACGGGCGGAAGACGAAGCCCAGCGACGCGGCGGCTGCCGCTCCGCGCCCGGCTGGCCCATGCGACGCTGACCCCCTTCTCCCGCGCCCGGCTGTCCGTCCTTGACGACCTGGCGGACCGTGGGGTCGCCGCGCGTCGCGGGCTTGCTGCCTGAGGCGGCGCGGATCTTGTTGAAGGATTTCTTTGAGAGCCACATGATGCGCTCGCCGCTGGAGGTGGGCGAAATTAGTGCACGGCGCCGTCCAGTTCGACCCTGTTTGGACCCAGTTTCGAGTCATGAGCGACCCGCCTACAGCGGCCTAGTCAAGCGGCTGCCGAAGGTGGGCCGGTGCGACAGTCGACCACCTGCCGCTGCCAAGTGGGGATCTCCTGTGCGAAGAAGAAGGGTGATAGCCAGCGGCTGATCCTGGACTGCCGCCTGGCGAATCGTCTGTTCAGGAGCCCGCCCAGGGTCGACCTCGTCAGCGGTGGCGGCCTTGGCCGCGTCGAGAGGTCGGCGCCGACTCCGATCGAGGCGTGGAGCTGGACAACGCCTTGGGCGGCCTGGACGCCTGGCTGGGCGTGATCGAGCGATGTGAAGGACCTCGTCCATTGCCTCCTCCTGGATGGCTGGGCCTGTCGCAGCTGGGCGGGGCGGCGCTGAGGCGCGACGCGCTGATCTACCCGCTGGCCCGCGCGCTGCCCATGGGCTGGGCCTGGTCGCTGTGCTTTGCCCAGGCGGCCAACTCGCGCCGCGTGGCGCTGCTGCGAGAGCTGGGCGGCGCCCTGCCAATGGCCGCTCATTCTGGGCGGCATGCAGTCCCCGGGCTGCTACGCCTACGTGGGCACTGCCGGCGTGCTCGGGGCGTCCGAGTGTCAGGTGCGCAGTGCTCTGGAGGCTGCTGCGGCCTCTTTTGGCGGGGAGGGCCTCGAGGTCCACGGGGGTTTTCTGGCCGGCGCCGGCGGCGAGGCCTTAGGCGTGCAGCTCGACGGCCGCGAGGGGTCCACCCGCCCTGCGCCCTCCAGGTTCTTGCGAAACCGAGGCGCGGTGCAGGCGCTGCTGCGGCGCCGCGCGGTGAGCGGGCTTGAGCGAGAGAGCTTGAGTTGTTTCCATTGCATCTGCCGCTTCATCCAGCGGCGCCACTTCGAGAGGGTCGCGCTGTGGGGCAGCGTGGGGCAGGAGCTGCGGGCCTTCCCAGGGCTGATGATATTCTTGCATGCCGACTGGGGCGCCTGATGGCTACCTGGCGCGCGCCAGTCCGACGCGTCCCTCGACGGCGTCGGCTTGGCCTAATTACTCGCTGTGTGGCCCGCTATCGCCGTGGCGCGGGGGTCGCGCGACGGCGTTCTGTGGAGGCCGCTGGCCTGGGGCTGCTGGCGGACGGCGGCGTCGTCGTTGTGCCCGAGGCCCGCGCGCCCGCGATCCCCGAGGAGGAGATCGCGCGCTGGAGTTAGGGCCCCGCCTTCGAGGAGGTGCCGGCGGAGCTGTTGCGTGCTGACCACTGGCGGGCGGTCTTGGCCGATCGGTGGGCTTTCGAGGAGGGAATTCTCCATCTCGAAGGCCGAGCGCTGATCGTGGCCGTGGAGCGAATGGCGAGCTCGCGCGCTGGCCGTGGCGCCGGGGCTCCTCTGCTGGGGGAGAACGTGGAAGTGATCCTCGCCTTCTCACGCTCGCGGGCGCGGGGCTTCAAGCTGCTGGCGATGATTTGGCGTGCTCGCTTGGGCGCGGACTCAGGTTCAGTTATAGGCGGTTCCTTTCGGAGTTAAACGGCCGCGACGAGGGGGGCGCGCAGTCTGCGAAGGAGTAGGAAGTGGAATAATGTGTTACTTACTTGTTGCCCCGTGGAATGGCGACGCAAGTCAGACGCGATCGCGCCTTTGAGGGCCCGGGCCCCAGCGCCCGAGAGGTCGCCCCCGCGCGCCTTCTTGAGGGGCCCTCCTGGCTCGAGGAGGAGGGCGGCGCCCTGGCAGTTGCGGGCGCGTGTCCAGCGGCCGTCGGCGCCCCTGGCTTGGCGGCCAGGGCCGCGCTGCATGCCCCCGCGGGGCCTGGCGGCCAGGCGCGGGTGCTGGCGCGGGCCTTGGCGTCGCCGCAGGCCGCGACCAGCGCTGGGCGCGGCGCCCCGGCCAGCAGGAGCCCGCGAAGGACGCGCGCGCAGAGCAGATCGGCGCGCGGCGGCTTGGGCCAATGGGCAAGCGCGGGCGCGGCGCCGCTGCCGGCGGGTTTCGAGCAGGTCGCTTCGACGGAGTGAGGCCAGGCAGCCGCGGCCCTGCCCGTCGGCGATCTGGAGCCGACCGGCGCGACTGGCGCGACCGGCGCGACCGGCGCCGGCGCGGCCGGCACGACCGGCGCCGGCGCGACCGGCGCGACCGGCGCGACCAGCGCGACTGGAGCGACCGGCGCGACCGGCGCCGGCGCGACGGGCACCTGCGCGACCCGCGCGACCGGCACCTGCGCGACCGGCGCGACCGGCACCGGCGCAACCATCGCGACCCGAACCGTCGCGACCAGCGCTATTGGCACCGGCGCAACCGGCGCGACCGGCGCCAGCGCAACCAGCGCGACCGGCGCCGACGCGACCGGCGCGATCGGCGCGACTCCGGCGCGACTGGCACGACCGGCGCCGGCGCAACCAGCGCGACCGGCGCCGGCGCCCGCGCAGCCCGCGCGACTGGCGCTGGCGCAACTGGCGCGACTGGCACGATGCACCAGCGCAACCTGCGCGGCCGGCATTCGCGTAATCGTCGCGGTTGGCGTGACCGCGATCCGCGCACCTGGCACCGGCGCGACCCGCCGCCGGCGCGACTGGCGCGACCGGCGCGACAGGCGCGGCCGGCGCGACGGGAATTTGGCGGCGCGCGCAAGGGGGTGGGGGGAGGCGGGAAGGCTTCTTAGAAGCAGGCTGCTTCTTAGAAGGCGCCAGCCTTGCATCTATGGATAAGGCCCGCGCCTTCTAAGAAGCAGGGGTGTACCTAAGAGGCCCTCCCCCCTCCCCCTGCCCCCCTTTGTGCGTGGCTGAGGAACGTTGGTTCCTGGCTGTTTGTGTGCGCGTACGCCCGTCCGTGTCAGTGTGCCCGTGTGTGCGTGCGTCTCTCTTTCCCTCTCCCTCTCTCTCGCTCTCTCTCTCTCTTTCTCTCTCTTTCTCTCTCTCTCTCTTTCTCTCTCTTCCTGCGTATCTGCGTCTGTGTGTCTGTGCGTCTGTCTGTCTGCGCGCGTGCGAGTGCACGAGTGCGCGGTTATCGTGGCCGCTTGCGCTCTCGTTTTGTGCTATTGGGCGCGCGCGCGTTGCGATTGCGCAAAGGGTGCAAGAGGCTCGATTCAGCGTGCATGCCAATACTTATACATTTCCCGTTGCCTCCAGTTGGCGGCTTCTCTCGTTGGCGGCTTCTCTTTTGCAGTCGAGGCACATTGTGCGGTCTCTGGCTTCTCCTGCTCGCAGTCCAAGCGTTTCCATGTATGTGTTTGCTTCGCATCAACGACAGACAACCCTTTTGTGTTCATACACCTCAATTGCATCTACACCCGGGGACTGCTGATATCGGCGACTTTGATCCGACACGTGAGGCGAATCTGAGTAGTAGTAGTAGTAGTAGTAGTAGTAGTAGTAGTAGTAGTAGTAGTAGTAGTAGTAGTAGTAGTAGTAGTAGTAGTAGTAGTAGTAGTAGTAAGTAGTAAGTAGTAAGTAGTA